TTATGTACAGTACTGAGTATTGTCACTGGATTCCCGTGAGAGTATGAACAAGATGTTGGCGTTTTCTGGCATGCGATGCATTCTCAGATATTTGGAAAACTAATAAGTGTAGCTATTAACCCTATAAAGCCTACTGTATCATAAAGGCATCTCATTTATCAGCATGAACGAAATTTTGCTGAAAACCCCACAATCTACTGCATGCCTTTTGTCGTTTGTTTGATAGTTGATACTTTTTTAGTCAGTAAAAGGCCTTTTAGTATAATTGTGCAAACGTCCACCTTCGAGTCATGGTTCACGTGTCTTTTTGCTACGAAATCTTTACTAATTTTGAAAGTAAACGTAAGAATAACCTTTATTGTTATTAGGTTTACTTGATTGTCCATAGATATCGGATATCCTATTTTGCTGATATTTTGTATGAATGGTATAAATGTGGACGTACAGCTGTTGTGTGATGGAGGGGTCTGTCGTCTCTCCTCCTCCGTGAGCCTTCAGCTTCTCAATCTCCTCCCGATGAGCTTTCCTCAGAGCCTCCATCGCTGCGGGATTGAAGATGAGATAAATGAGAACAAAATGATGGGAAAAAAAGTCACTAAATTCTCACCTGATCATATATCAAAATCAGTGTTACTTTAGTATCATTGATATACAACTACGGTTTTTGTTAACATGTTGAATTAGATATTTAGAATCTAGAATTTTGTTTTGTTTCACTAGGATTTTATTTAAAGATGTAGTTATTTTGTTTTTGTGTTTTTTATCATTTGTATTATTTTTTTTAAAACGAGTCTAGTTCATATAAATTTTAATTCATTAGTTTTCAAGTTAAACTAAATGAAAAATGATACGTTTATGATACGTTTTTATATTTTATTTTACGTCAGTTAACATTTTATTTCAAGTTTGCTATTTTAATGATTTTAGTTTTATTTAACAATAACTCTGATCAAAATCACAAACTCGATTTAATTACTATATTTACCGTTGACAAGTTTGGGGTCTGCAAGGTTTTTAAAAATGTTTTTCTAAAGAAGTCTCTTACATTCACAAGGTTATATATTTAATGAAATATACAGTAAAAACATGAGTATTGTAAAATATTATGTAATTTATTTCTGTGATGCAAAGCTGAATTTTCAGCATCAGTACTCCAGTCTTCAGTGTCACATGATCCTTCAGAAATCACTCTAATATGCTGATTTGCTGCTCAAGGAATTTTTTGTTACATCATAAATGACTTTACTGCCACCTTTGATCAAACGAATGCATTTCTTTCTTTAACAATAAATGATTATATAACACCTTCAGGTTCTATCACTCTTATTTGACCCTTGGGATGTTCTGCGGCCCACACTGACCTTGGACTGCGTTCTTGGCTTCCTCCTGCAGCAGTCTGTGTTTGTCTCTCTCCATCTCTCTGCGCTCTCTCTCGTGCTCGTCGTGTATCTTCTGCAGTCTCTCTCGGTGCTCTTTCTCCATCTGCTCCAGTTTCAGAGCGCAGGGCGCGTCAGGATCGCAAACACCGGCTGCCACACGGACCTGACGGAGAGCCTCGATCTGCTGCCTCAGAGACACCACCTGACCAACGCAATGCATCCAGACCACACACACACACACAGATGATGCAGATTAAATGGTCATAGACCAAAAAGATGTCTAAATCTAAAAACACACCTCCCCCTGAAGCACCTCATTTGTTGTTTGGGGATTCTGGACACCAACTGGTGAACTTTCCTCTCCGATCGGAAGCAGCTCAAAGTCCGCCCACTTCTTCTCGATGTCTGGCCCGGTCTGAGTGTCAGGAACCTGCAGCCGGGTCAAAATCACTGGAGTCACGACACCCTTCTTCAACTCCACCTTATCCCAGGGGTCTTCGCCCTCCTTGTCGGAAATTCCCTCCTGGAACCACTTGGTTCGGCCCTCCAGACGTCTTTCAAGCTCTTGGTCGCGGCCCTCGCCGGCCTCCCGCCGCTTGGTTAACAGTGAGGTCATCTTGTGGGGTTCATCCTGATACGGACCGTCGACATCTGACCCCGGGTCATGGGGTGCGGGAGAGGTTCGGGACGGTGCATTCTGGGAACTGGAGCTGATGTCACTGTTGTCTGGGTGTCTGAGAACAGGCCGAGATATCAACTTCCTACTTATGAAAACAGGAACCTAAGTCAAACCTCAAACCTGCTCCAGTGAAACATCAGTAACGTTATTTCAGTTTAAAAGTCCAAAGCCAAATCTTTCAGATGACCATAATCAACATAGGAATGATTCATGAATATTTGATATATTTTGATATAAATGATTGATGGGTGAATATATACGAAAACATGTCATGTTTCAACTTAAAGTCAAAATCAAAATGACTTACATTTAGCATGAAGATTAAGCTTATGTTGTATTATTATATTTTGCATAGAGATACATGAATATTTGATATATTTTGATATAAATGATTGATGGGTGAATATATACGAAAACATGTCATGTTTCAACTTAAAGTCAAAATGACTTACATTTAGCATGAAGATTAAGCTTATGTTGTATTATTATATTTTGCATAGAGATAATAAATTTTTTTTTGCAATGTGACATTATTTTTATGTCAATTTCACTGTAATCCAGCTATTTTATTTATTTATTTTTTTTTCTATTTTATTTTTTACATTTATTCGTAATTCTCATTATTATTATCAACGATTATTCTCATTAGATGCTCATTATTGTAATGCTTTATAGTTGCATTATCGCAAATGCTACTATTGTATATCATAAAATATGCTTAATTGTCATTAAAAACGCTTTATGGACTGAAAAATAGGTTTCTATTTTTTCTCATTTTTCTATTTAGGCTTTTTTCTCTTTTAGACATGTTCTTGACAGTTTTCTGAAATCTTTCAGAAAACCACAATCAATATAGCAAGATGTTACTGTGGATATTTAATATTTTTTGAATATCCATATAAATTCTCTATGGGTGAATACCATGAAAACATCTTACACAAAATTTAATTTAAAATATTTAAAAATTAAAAATTGTATCTAGCACAAATATTAAGCTTTGTTATATTATTAAGAAAAGATTTATGAACATAATTTCATGAACATTAAGATATTTTTGCATTACTTTAATGACATTTAAGCACAATTTTCCCTCCAAATTATCATCACTGCAATCCAGCTATTTTACTATAAATTGTCTATGTAAATTTTCATTATATGCACATTATTGTAATTCTATACAGTATGGATGTCAAATAGCTGTTAAACATGCATAAAGGCATTATAGCAAATACTACTGTGCATTATAAAATATGTTTAATTGTCATGAAAGTAAAACATGAATGGTCCTAAAAACATGTTTCATTGTCATATCTCAAAATATAATAATTAATTAAATAAATAAATTAATTAATTATTAATAATATTTTTTGTTCTCTCTTTTCAGACATGTTCTTGACAGTTTTCATGCAATCCGCCCGTGACTGATTCTCTGCGTTTATTTCTTCAGTTCTGTCCTACCGAATGCTTTCAGCCGAATCCCTGAACGATATTCTCCTCCTCAGTGTGTCGATCCAGTTCCTCCTGATTCTGGAGGTCATCGCTGACAGGGTCACCGGTCCATCACGCATCTGCAGATCAATCACAGAGGTTTGAGACATAGGAATATTCTTACTTTTTCCTGATGAGAGGTCCTCTTAACTTTTGTGACAAGTTCTTACATGCAGTTGTATCTCAAAATTAATTAATTAATTAAATAAATTAATTAATTAATAATAATATTTTTTGTTCTCTCTTTTCAGACATGTTCTTGACAGTTTTCATGCAATCCGCCCGTGACTGATTCTCTGCGTTTATTTCTTCAGTTCTGTCCTACCGAATGCTTTCAGCCGAATCCCTGAACGATATTCTCCTCCTCAGTGTGTCGATCCAGTTCCTCCTGATTCTGGAGGTCATCGCTGACAGGGTCACCGGTCCATCACGCATCTGCAGATCAATCACAGAGGTTTGAGACATAGGAATATTCTTACTTTTTCCTGATGAGAGGTCCTCTTAACTTTTGTGACAAGTTCTTACATGCAGTTGAAGTCCATAGTTTTTATCGGCATCAAATTCCTCCACTCGCAGACAGTGACGTAAATAAATCTCACCATCCGCCTCATCTCTCTATCGAGGTGAAAAACACAGAATTCAAGATAGTGTCGTTAAATCAGATCATGCTATGGTGCTTTCAGCTCTATTTGATCAATTTGACCACGTTTAAATTTATTCCATGATTTAATCCATGTTTTCCACGTGACATATCTGTACAGTCCTTAGATAATAATTTATTTGCATGGCAATTTCAGTTATTCTTGCTCACCTCTTCAGCCCCAGAGTCTCTATAGTATCTCAATCCTGAATCAGAAATCACGAACCAGTGCTTCCTCCACTACAAATAAAAACAAGTAACTCATAGTTGTTTGTGCATTTTCACGAAGCAGCAGATTAATATTGCACGATAATCAATCAAAACCTTATCTATTTTTCTAGCTCTTTGAACAAGATTTCAGGCCAAATCAAAAGAAGTATATCTTAAATCCTGTAAGTGGTCACCATTTCCACTTGTGCTTTTTAAAAATAGGGGAAAATATAAAAAGTAAAAGTATAGCAAGTCATGTTATGCCAACTTCCTTATAACAGCCATAGACAGTCGCTGGTCATGCAATGTCATGCAATAGATCTAGTTCAACAGAAGCAGCCCTGTACCTCTTCATCTTCATCCAGCATATACATCCATCCCTTTTTACAGTGCGGAAGATCAAGCTTTTAGGAAACAGAATCAAAACAAGTGCATGTATAAGGAATGCAATATATACAGTCAACTCAACATCTAAAGTAAAAATCTTCCCAGAGCAACAATATGACATTCCAGAGCTGAGTAATCCAGAGCACGGGACACACACACATACACCATTTACTCGAGCATTTCAACAAACACACACATTTCAACGACTTACCGACATGGGTATCCGGTTGTAGGCATGAAAGAGGAAAGAAACTGCTTTAGTTGCTCAATTCTAGCAAGTAGGTAGTGTCACAGAAATGCGTATTCGCACGACCATAAAGTCGTGCATTAAATAAATACAAATTCGCGCTTATTTAAGCAGTTCCCGCGCTTAAATGTTGCTTTAAAATAAATGCAACTTGTACAAAAACGTTAAATTATCCCTGCGTGACTAGGCGAGCATCTCTAAAAGGTGGTCACGTGACCAGAAGCTTCCGCGAAGCAGCTCGCGGTCTGACACATCAACAAACTGAGCTGTACAGCTTCTCTCAGCATAATTTAAGCTTCAAATCATCTCATAGCTTAACTAAAACCTCTATATCTAGCGCTAAATATAATGTACTTGCTGTCTAGGAGCTCAAAAGTGCGTTTTCGTCCGTTCTGCGAACAGCGACACCTGCCTCTCTGAAGTAGAAACCGAATACCTCAGCGTTGGTAAACTAGTAATGAGTGTAACTTTAGGTGACTTTACCTGCATCTGAGGGGGCTCTTCTGGACCTTTGTGTTTTCCGTTTACCATCCGAATGCTTTCTCCATTTTTGCTGGACCTCTGAGAACATATTCAGAGAGATGCTAAGCAATTTTTAAGCGTGTTATTTTTAAGATGGCGTCTCAAGAAAACATTGCTAGCTATCAGTGTTGGGGAGTAACGTAACTAGTTACATGTAACTGAATTACGTAATTTAATTAATTATTTAAAAATAAACGTAACTGTAATCTGTTACAGTTACTGAGAAAAAAACACGTGTAATTAAATTACACTTATGTAAAAGTTAATGATTACAAAGGGGGTTACACTTCTGAATTTTTTCACACACACATACAGATTTTAATTGATATATTTCATAAATTGCATTGGTTGCTCTAAAGTATGAGACACCAATATTTCAGGAGTTTAAGACGCATGCTTATTTAATAACTGATTTATTTAGTTGGGTTTATGTATATGCTTTATTTTCTAAGATTAACTGTTTTTTTTTTCCAAGGCATTGTTAGATGCCAGTGTTTCCTAGCTATGCAAAGATTTGATTTCAAAAACAGTATCATAGCTATTAAACTATTTCTTGTTATGATTTTTAATCTGTATTTAACCTCAGAATGATCTCAATGTAAAAAGAAGTGCTAAAGTCCGATTTTGTGGTGGCTGTGCTTTAAAATTAAATTATTATACTCTTAATTCAAGTGATGAAGGTAATCAGTGTTGAGCTCTGTAAGGTTAACCCTGCCTGGTTTACATGTTTGAAAATGATTAACTGTTGAAAACATTAGATATTTAGAAATGTAATCAGTTACATTAATGAAGTAATTGAAATAGTTACACTACGTATTACATTTGAAATAGGGTAACTTGTAATCTGTAACCTATTACATTTCCAAAGTAACCTTCCCAACACTGCTAGCTATGAGGTTCCTAAGGTGTTCTGGGTGTTTTTAGTGGATTACTATGCAGCTACTAGGTTCTGACTGGTTGCTAGGTGGTTACATACACATCAAAACTTTTATTATAAACGATTAAAATAATAATAATCTAGTCTCAAAATTTGTCTAAGATGCTTCTTTCAGTGTAAGTCTATGGGATTTTTCATTTTGCCTATTTTATCATCTGTCCAAATATTTCCCATTTTTATGCCACTTTTATTTATTTTTATTTTTTTTGCCTCCGCAGATTCAGCAGAATAGATGACAGGTGAGATGACGTCAGTGAGAAAGGGAAGCGGTGTGTGAGACTGTAATCTCAGGCACCTGTGAATGGCGTGATGCAGTGCTGTTGGTTTTTGACGAGCCTCCCATCTCTTTGTCTAGACGTCTCCGTTCTTTCTCTCTGCGGTCTCGTCCTCTCTCTCTTTCTCTTCCTCTGCCTCGCTCTTCTGAAACCTCACGCTCATAGTCATATCTCCCATCCCCATAGCTTTAACCACAGATAGGAGAAGCAGAATTTACTGACAGGGTTTCCTCTCTCTCACACTCACTTTGCCACTGAAATGATGCCAGTGCTTTGATGGGGATCTGTGAACCTCTCTTAAAGGGGTCATATGATGCTGCTAAAAAAGAACATTATTTTGTGTATTTGGTGTAATGAAATGTGTTTATGCGGTTTAAAGTAAAAAAAACCACATTATTTTCCACATACTGTACATTATTGTTTCTCCTCTATGCCCCCCTTTCTGAAACGTGTCGATTTTTACAAAGCTCATCGGTCTGAAAAAGCGAGGTGTGCTCTGATTGGCCAGATATCCAGTGCGTTGTGATTGGCCGAATACCTCAAGCGGGTGACAAAAATGTTACGCCCCTCACCATATTATTGATGCCGTGTCTGGCCGGAGCGGCGAGACAAAAACATTAAAACCCATTACAAACGAAGCATTTTGAGACTTTAGTTTTTGCAACTTTAGGGATCTTATCTATTCACGAACAGCTTGTAACACTCCAAAGAGAAAGGAAAACTTGAAATTGCATCATATGATGATATGATGCACACAAGAACCAGTCCATATTTTGACTTGAGAGCTAAAAGATTATGTAATGAAGGGGTTTGTGGGATGAAGTGAATGCTACTGGGGCCGCTGAAAATATTTGAGGAAAAATATTTTTTGATCGCACTAAATGTACTAAAAGATGCTAAAATTAACTTTTTAAAAATTAAATATGTTTAATTGACTGAATTTAAATCATGAAATTAGTCAAACTAATTTTTTTCTATATTCTATATTTATATATATATATATAATTTTAAAATAGATTTAAAAAAATAATAAAAACAAAATCAAATTAAATAAAAAATGTAAATAAAATATTTTTTTCACAGTTTTTAGGAAAATAGTCAATCCTCAGGGAATCATCATATCTGGTGATTCATCAAAAAGTTTGAAAACCTGTGATAATGTCCTACTTTACTTGTTTATTTATGTTTTAAGCTTAGTTTTAAGACCTTATTTTAACATCCAGTAATTTGGATGGCCAAACTTCTACCAAAACTTATGTAATGGTCACAAGTTATTTAATTATAATTCAGATGGAAGCTGTAAATAACGTAATTGGAGTAACTTGTAACAGGATGTCCATCACTTTTTTTTCCAGTGGAAATGTTCAGATTAGGCATCTGCTTTTTCTTTAGCACCAGCACCATGTCAGTGGAAAAGTGGTACCATCTCTCTTCAAATCTCTGACCTGTGCTGATTGTCTCTGCGTGGGCTCCGGCTCTGCGGTCTCCTTCTCACTGTTATTGCTTCCTCTTCCTCAGGGTACAGCTTCGATCGGGGAATATCTGCAATCATCACATAGTCCTCAATGGTCATCTCTGGCACTGCTGGTTGGCTGGAAGACCTGGTGTTCTCTGAAAGAATTAGCGCCTCCAAGCCCCGCCTGATGTTGCTTCTGCTCCGATCATTGACCGGCTTGTCCGTCTCTGCAATTAAGGCTTGGGATTTGGGCAAATCAGGGGACGGAAGCTGATTCCGGCTCCGCCTTGATTGGGAGATGTTTGGTGTTGATGCAGGTGAGGCGGGGCTTAGAGGGGAGTGGGTGGGGCTTAGCGAATGGCGGGAATCAGATCTGGATTGTTTGTCAGAGGTGTCTGAGTATCCGCCATTCCTGCGGCTTTTGTTTTTCGAAGTACCGTTGTTTAGCATACCATGTTCATCGTAATCTTGATAAGGCGTTGAGGCACCAGCGCTGTTAGATCCACTGTTGTAACCACTATTTCGACTGCCGTGGCTTGTTTTGTCATCACGATAGCCTCCTTTAGGAGAGAAATCCCGACTGTTGTATCCAGTATTGCGGCCACCACTCTTTCGACTGCTGCGACCGCTATTGCGACCACTGTGTTTGCGTTCATTGTAATCGCCATCGATTTCCACATCAGAATGTCTTTTCGACCAGCCGTTCCTTTCTTCGGAGACGTCTGACTCTGCCGAACTCGCGATTGATTTGAGATTCTTGTACAGCTTTCCAGAATCCAAGCTTTGTCCGTAGGAGCTTTGGGAGGGGCTTATTTTGTGGGCGGGGCTAAAGGACTCCCCATATTTATTTGTACCTGAGCTTTGCAAGGGAGACGTGGTGCGCGTGACCACCGAATCTCGTCTTCGTGATGGAGTGCATTTCCCAGAAGCCTGTCGAGAGGACGTGTGGGATGTCCGGTGTCCGGTGGAACCTCGGCGATGGGACGAACTGCGCGATTCCCCTCGCCTCTGCGGTGAGACGTTCGTAGATCTCGGGCTGCCAGAACGAGGGCTTGCACGGGATTGGCTGTCCCCGCGTCTGAAATTTGAATAGGACATGTGTCGCTGGGGGGAGAGGCCGCTCATTGCCTCGTTGCTGAGATAGTCAGAGCGCCTCCTATAGGACGGGAGACCCAGGTCGGGGTTTCGGAAGGGGATTGTGGCTTTGCGCTCAGGACTGTGATTGGCTGGAAGAGGGTGGCCCCTCTCGAAGTAGCGTACGGGAGCGGAAGGACTGCCATCTTCCTGTTCCCTGTCCCGTGAGAGGAAGCGATTGGCTCTTTTAAAAATGGCGCGGCTGCTGCTTTGTTCTGTTTCTCTTCTAGTCTCTGTTTGAGGAAGACATGGCATTGATACTGCGCTGATGCATACAAGTTATTGAAATAAATGAATAATTAAATGATTAAATAATTTTGGTAACACTTTAGTATAGGGACCAATTCTCACTATTAACTAGTTGTTTATTAGCATGCCTATTAATAACATATTGGCTGTTTATTAGTACTTATAAAGCATTTATTCTGCATGACCATATTCTACATCCCTAATACTAGGGTCCCATGTTTTACACGATGCGGAAAACATGGACGGAATCGCAGTATCCAGTCATAAAAATGGAATTCACTGTATAATGTGGAATATCACGGAATTTGCCCAATTTGGGATGAAAAAATTAAAAGTACGTCAGTACACTTAAATCAAAACGCGATATGGACTAGTGTCTGTGAATATTTAGCCACGAAAATACTATTTAAATATGAATCCTGCATGTTCTGTGTGTCTCTGTAAATGAATGGATGTTTCATTTACTGCGCACATACTGAAGCGCAAATTTGGGGAAAAAATAAAATGAATTTTTGGAAGAAATAAAATGAATTTCATTGGGCCCTACAATATACCTAAACTTAACAAATACCTTACTAACTATTAATAAGCAGGAAATTAGCAGTGTATTGAGACAAAAGTCGTAGTTAATGGTTTGTAAATTGCGAGAATTGGACCATAAAATAAAGTGTGACCAAAATGTTTAAGTATTGATTATTTAATACACAGGACAAAATATACTAATATACACTCACTTCTGCAGTCTTACCCTGTAAAGCCTACGGCATCATAATTTATATGCACATTTCTAATTATCAACTGTTGTTCACAATCTACTACATGCCTTCTGTTCTTACAGTTTATACTTTTTTTGCAAGTAAAAGGCCTTTTATGTGAATTGTAAATATAAAAGTAAATGTAAGAATTATTGTTGTTATTATATTGTTACTGTTTCAAGATGAACACTTACTGGACTGAAGCAGCTTTGGTTTACTTGATTTTCCACGCATAATTTTTTAAGAAAAAACATGTTAAAATGTGAGTTTCAAATATGATCCATCAGTCTTTTGAGGAACGTTTATTTGTTCATCTCTCAATCATCATTGTATTGCATTGCATTATAAGTTTTGAAACTACAATTAGATCTTACTAAGGCATATTTGGAAATATAAAGTGACAACTGATATTTAAATGCTTTTTATGCAAGTAGTCTGTTTACTAGTATAAAGATCTCATTGATTTACATTACAAGCTATCGGAATTTCCTCTCGCTTTTGGCCATATAAATGTCATTTACTACACCAAATTACATATTTTGCTCAGTTTGGGCCTTTTTTTCTTCAAAAAAAGAAAAAAGGATTTTTCTGATTATCATTTCATATGTAAGGCTTTACAGGGTTAAATCTCACCTGTGTGTTGGCTGACACTTCCTCTTCTGCTCATGCTGATGCTTCCTCGTCTGCTTGTGTTGGCGCTCCCTCTTCTGCTCTGCAGTTCTATCACAGAGCGACTTTCTGAGCGCTGAAGTGCCGGTTCCAGTCGAGTCATGATTTAGGTCTCTTAGTTTAGTAATAGTTGTTCCTTTAGATTGCGGATGAGTTCTTCAGGTCCACTCTTTGTTCTAGAGCTGTTGCTTGTGCTGCACATAAAACAGATTATTCTGTTATAAATCATAAATCATCAGATTATTCTGCTGGCTATTTTCTTGAATTTTGCTTCGGAAAATCTATCTGTGGATTTATGCAGGATGGAATTCAATATAATATAATTAAAATTTAAATTTAAATTTAATTAAAATAATTAAAATTGACGTTCTTTGGTGCTTGTTCCTGGTTTGCAGAAAAGTTTATTAGTAGATTAAAGCAGATGGCACAACACTCTTTAATGAGTCTTCATCTTTGTCCATTATCTGAAATAGATACGGTCAAAGAACACATTGACGTATTTCCAACAGTGTTCAACTCCACCTGCAGCTTGAGGAGAATGATACTGATCTTAAAAACAGATGTGTGCCAAAATGTAAGGTCATGTAAATGGTGCTCTTATTGCATTCTTTAATCAAGGAGTGATCGTTAACCATTTAAACTAGAGATGCACAAACCAGTTGGCCTGCCATGCCATATCACAAGAGCGAAGGGGAAAATATTCATTTATAATTTATTTTTCATTTTAACATATTGTTTTATTTTCTAATTACAATGTATAGAATATAAATGAATTCGATTTTTAAGATTTGACTTGTTTTTAAGATTAAATACTATTATAATATTTTTGTATTTTTCATTTTAATTTTAGTTAAAAAAATTTGTCATTTTGTTGTTTTTTATTTTTATTAGTTATTTTTAAGTTGTCTATATTTTTATGTTTTATTAAAATTTTAATAAATGTATTTTAATTTCTATTTTAGTTTTATTTATTATAGTACACCAGTAAACTTAAACAGTAGTTTAAGTTGAACAAACAAAAAAAATAGAAATATTGCAAGCTAAAATAAAATTAGAAGTAATATATTTTATTTTACTTTATTTTTAAAACAATTTTTTTTATGGTTTTATTTTTAGGTTTAGTTAACTATAATAGTAGTTTGGGCACCTCTGGTTTAAGCAAACCCCAATCAAATTTTTCCCCATTAGTCTGATTCCACTTCGCATCTAAATCGTGTTTTTGTTTGCTGTTTTTTAAGTTTTGCTGTATAGACAGGAGAAACTTTATTGCCTTGTCTATTTATTATTTTGCATGTGGTCACACTTTATTTTACGGTGCAATTCTCGCTATTAACAAACCATTAACTACGACTTTTGCCTCAATAAACTCCTAATTGGCTGCTTATTAATAGTTAGTAAGGAAGTTGTTAAGTTTAGGATTAGGGATGTAGAATATGGTCATGCAGAATATGTGCTTTATAAGAACTAATAAACAGCCAATATGTTAATAATAGGCACGCTAATAAGCAACTAGCTAGTTAATAGTGAGAACTGGTTCCTAAACTAAAGTGTTACTTCGCATGTAAACCATAAAATGCATTTTTATATTGTTTTCTTTTTTTTGTAGATCATCTGGTTACTCTGACGGCCCTTCAACTCAATAATGCACACACTGGATTGATCATGTTAAGAGACAAAGTAGCGAAGAACAAATTGACATCACAGCGGCAGCTTGTTCAGGACGCATCACCTTAATTTCCCTGATTGGCAGATTGTGACGGAATCCAAGCGCTCTTGAATAATTTACATCTCTGAGGTGAAGGTAGAGACTTTTAACTCCTAAATACAGCGATAAGTGCAATCTTAGCAGGATCTGTACCAGAAACAGGATATTTTAATGCAGCTCGTGGGTTAAACAAGTTCCTCGAGGCTTAAAGGTTAGATGGTTTTTATGCCAGAGCTCAAGCTACTAATCAAGCAATGTTACATTTTACAATAACTCAGTTTAACATCTACATACATGTATGAGGCGTGAGCTTACAGCACAGACATGCAAGGTGAGCAAGACATGCGCCTTTTAACGTAAGATGAAAGTAACCAGCAGTGATGGAATAGAATCAATTCAATAGCAGAGGTGCACAAATAAAACACTCCACAAACCTTCTCAATGCTCCCGAGGCTTCGCTAATGCCCTTGCCAGCGTCTTGTATCTCTCCTTCTTCTCCCCATCTCTGTGGCGTTCCTCCTCTGGCTCTTTCCTTCATTACTTTAGGAGCGGCAGGTGTAACTCAAGCTAGACTCTGCCTCTCCTCATGACTATTT